TTAGAATAGCCATGGCAAAGCAGATAGTGTTGATCCAAAATGAATATGTTTCTTTTAGAAAGAGCCTCAATAGTTTTAAGACCACCTCTCAGTGCTAACCAGGTGAAAATTAATACAAAATTATAAGGAGTTCATTTGTGCATAGGTTGATTAATTGACAAAATTTGAGTTATAAATTAGTGTTGTGTTTGTTTGGGATTGAATTTTTATTTTGAAGTTAGTTTGTGTCATACCAATGGGTACCATTCATGGGCATTTTTGCAAAAAATTCTGAGTAAAAATCTTTGAAATAACCATTCTCTAAATTGTCCCAAATGATGTGCTTATAGGTATTTCCTGAATAAAATCTTGAATGTGCTGACTAAGGAAGTTAGGCAAGACCCAGCCATTATGATTCACCCACTCAGCTAGAGTAGCATTTTGGTTGCAAAGAGGGTTAGAAAAAATTCCTGATAATTTGGATGTAATAGTATCATTCAGGCACCAATGGTCCCATAGTATGACAATCGGGCTATTATAAGTGATTGAAAACTTAAATTTGTGTTTGACCAAAGATGTCGTGCTACAAATAGACATCCAAAAAGCAGAACTACAGTGTTGACAAATTTTCCAAGGCAAGATATATCTAGTTCTTAACCAGTTAGATAGAGGAGTAGCATTATTATAAATCTAGTAATGGTTCCACAATTGAAGGCAAATCTTAAATAACTAAGAGATGCAATACCAATACCTCCATTAGAGTAAGGTTTGTTTATGCTTGTCCAAGATATCAAATGAAAGTTCTTAGTTTGGGAGCTACTGTAGTAGAGAAATTTCAAGCACAGTTTCCCAATAGCTTTACTGATAGTTTTAGGGATGCAAGAGCCTCCTAACCAATAAGCCACTACATTTTTTATTTTATATTTGTTGAATTGCACTCTGCCAGTAAAAGAAAGAAGACAAGCTTTCCAATCATAAAGCATGTTAGTAACCATTTTGAGAGGAGAGAAATCAATGACTTTTATTCTACCCAAGGAAATGGGTCGGCCCAAGTAACATAATTTAGAGGAGATATTATGAATGTGAAGGGCTTGAGAGATGCTAAGAGCATTGGTGCTAAGAGGGGAGAAAAGAAGAGAACTATTGTGTAGATTGAGATGCAAACCAGAGTAGTTAGAGAAAGAGCTGAGAATCCTCATTAAACATTCACAGATTTGAATATCCACTTTACCAAAGACCAAGAGGTCATAAACATAAGAGAAGTGAGTTAAATGGAAACTTTCATATTTAAAAACTTCAAAGCCATCAGAGTCATTAGAGGCGTCAAAGAGGCAAGAAAAGACATCCATAATGATGCCAAAAAGGAAGGGGCTAAGTGGATGGCCTTGTTTGAGGCCAGAGCTGAAACTAAGAAAATCTTCAAGAGCACCATCAATGCATATGGAAAAGGAAGTATCATTGATACAAGCTTTGATCCAATATATGAAAGTGGGCAGGAATCCCTTTTGTGATAATCTGACATAGACGAAATCTCTAGAGACCATGTCAAAATCCTTCTTTATGTCCAATTTTGCATAAAAGTACTTCTCTTTATTTTGCTTGTTGAAAAAGCAAATGATTTCAGTCACCAAAATAGGATTACCAGTGGACATTCTATTGGAAATGAAGGAAGCCTGACTATTATGGATAATCTCTGACATGATCGGCTTTATACGGTTTGCAATAATCTTAGCAATAATTTTGTGAAAAATATTGCAAAGGGAAATAGGTCTGAAATCATGAATGATCCCAGCATGTGCTTTCTTTGGGATAAGAGCATTGACTGTTGCTTTAACATGTTTTGGAAGGTAGCATTTACTACAAATGGATTTCATTGCTTTGCATACTAACGGCCCTGTAATATTCCATATTTTTTTGTATAAGTCAAAGTTGAAGCCATCTAGACCAGGGGAAAAATCGAAATAGCCAGAAGAAATTGCCTAAAAAATCTCCTCATGAGTGACTAGAATTATAAGTGAGTAAATAGCCTCAAACATAATAGGTTTTCCAATGGGAATAGTATCAACATCAGAGAGAATGCATGTAGGGGAGTTATAAAGGTTTTTGAAGTGATTAATAATGCTATGAATGTTAGCTGAATGAGCGTCATCAGGGCCAATGATAGAAGTATGAAGTATACTTCTATTGTGGGCATTTCTCTTACATATCTTAGAATACAAAATTTCAAATATTCCTCTCCATTTTTTAGCCACTTTACTTTGGATCTTTGTACAGTCCAGGAAGCCCATAAGGAGTTATGATAAGCTAGATCAACACTAATTTTCTTAGATCTTTCACAAACAGATAGATTAAGCAGGTCTTGATCAAAAAGTTATTGGCATATTGTTGTTGAGAGGACAAATCGACACATTTCGCCATTATATAATTAGAGGACTCCCAGCTTTAAGCTTGGATGTTTTCTTTTAATAATTTGATCTTATTATATAATATATGAATCAGATTTCACATGGAATGAGTGGAAAAAATTGAGATGAGAGAATCCCAAAATTCTAGGATTTTACACTAATAGTTTTTATACACAAACATATGATTTTCATACTTCACTAAATTTATCTTGAGAATAAGTAGGATATCACAAGAAATCAAGCTATTAAGCACTTTATAGTTGGAGTTTGGGAAGGCTTTGAACCACATGTCAATGGAGAGGACACGATCAAGTTTGGAGTGAATAAGATTATGTTCTTTGATTAAACCAAGTGTAAAAATTGCATGTAGATGAGACTTCCAAAAGGTTAGTGTCAAAGATAAGTAAATTGAAAGGGGCCAACCTAGACCCAACAATCTCATTACCACCGACCTTCTCTGATTGGTAACGACAATAATTAAAATCATCCAACACCACCCAAGGCAAGTTAGTATTGGGGTCCACACTTCTAAGATCATTCTAGAGGAGAGAGTGTTCTTCAAAAGAATTAGATGCATAAATAATAGAGAGAAAAAAATATTATTGAGATCCAAAGGTAATAATGTTCGTAATCATTTGATTAGATGAGAAGGTAGGAGAAAAGAAGATTTTATCTGAATTCCATTTAATTTAGATTTGCCAAGGAGATGCAAGCTCAAAATTATTGAAGCTCGATTCATTATCAAAGATAAAGTGAGTCATAGAAAACAAGGTCATTAATGTTAAAGAGGAGAATTCTATTTTCAAGAAGACAAAACATGTCCAAGTCATAAACACGTGAAAGATTCTTGCAACAAAAAACCTTATCAGGGTTATTGAAGCCCCCGGTATTCTAGGCAGCAATTGTGGGATGGGTCATGGATTTTTTAGTGAGGAGTTAGGACATTTTCTAGTGCCCTTAGATCTTGTGTTTATATGTGGTTGGTTTGCACCCTTCGAAGAGGCTTGAGGTGGCTTTGAGGAGGAAGATAGGGTATTGGTTGCTTGATCATTTTGCTGATTATGTTGAGTGTACTGATTATGTTGCAATTCAGAAGCTTGCTCTTCCGGCTCCTATGAAGGGGAAGCATTTGAGTTTGAGGAAACTTGAAGGGTTCAGATATATATTTTGAAGTTGTGGTATCCTTGGGGGTAGGCATAATATCTGAGGAGGAGGAAACAACCATGGTAGGTGAGTTTAAGTCTTGAATGGGTCTAGCACCAATCTCGATAGGGTTGGTGTTGGTTGTAGGATCAGAAGTTTGGAGAATTTGATTTGGGGGATTATCAATATTTCTAAGAGAGTGGAGGGCTGTATCGCCAGTAGGAAGAACATTATTAGGTAAAGGGAGAATACCTTTAGTATTTTGAGAAGCCGGTCTCGATTTGCAACTTGTACTTCTCCCTCTTTGGAGCTTGGAGGTTGGTTGAGGTTTATGGTTCGGATTAGAGGGGCAATAAGCTGCAGGGTTGTTTAGGGAGTTACAGATAAAGTAAAGGGGCGTGTGCCATTCTTATTGGATTTTGAGGTTGAAGATATTACCTTCAACAGAGATAGGAATAATTTCAGGGTAAGGGGCCCAAGGGTCAACTTGAACACATACCCTGGCATACTGAATTTTGAGGTTGTGAGGGCATCAACAACTAGTGAATATCCAACAATTTTAGAAATCCCAACCGTTGTCTAACAACACAAGGGAAAATAATGCATCTTGAACCAAATTGGCACAGAGGTAAATTCTTCTCTTTTTGGGCTAAAGTGTGGAGACCATTTTTTGAAAAATGAAAGGTTTGCCAAACACAAACCAAACACCTTTTGACCAAACAATTTCAAAGTCCTCGGAGCAAGAGAACTTGAACAAAAAAAACCTATCACTGAAATGAGCTTAAGAGTACCTTTGAGCTTCCAAAGTTTTCTAACACCCGAGAGCAAAACCTCATAGAACAGACGCTTCCCAAGTGAATAATCGGCAAGAGCAAGATTCCATTCTTGATTAGCATCATTTATGTCTTTAGAGGGGAAATTAATAACTTCATCTAGGGTATGGAAGGGAGAAATAGAGAACTCATAAGGGATAAGTGAGCTCGCAAGGATTCGGTCCCAACATAAGGGATTCAAAGGTCTAGCATAAGAAGAGGGAAGAGAAAAGTTATGGAGGGGAGGAAAATAGGAGGGATCCATCAAACGGCGATAGTGAAAGGGCTCAAGGAGGCGGGCAAAAAGGAAGATGGAAGCAAAAAATAAACCCCAGCAGTGCAAAAGTTCACGATGTCAAATAACTTTAATAATTTGAAACATAGTGCCAAATAACCTAGTACTGAAAGAATGTGCCAAATAACTTTAATAAATTGAAACATAGTGTCAAGATCTTCATATCTTTTAATCATTTCTATTTATGTATATTGATCCGTTTTAAGGGTCCAGCTTACTTTGAGGTTGAAATGATTAGCAAGATATGCTAATGCGCTTAGGCCACATTGGATGCATACGGGCAACTTAAGTCCAACACTAGTACACGAACAAAACCTTTATATTCTACCTACGTACAGACCCATTTATTTTTGCCTTCGTCGAAAAGTTTGAAATAAAAAATTCCGTTTCGTCTCTTTCCTCTCTCACTCTTTCCCTCTCTTATTTTGACTTATCCTCCAACTCCGTTGCTCTTATTTTGCATCATTCTCCAACTCCGTTGCTTTTTGCTGCTACGTACAGTTTTGCTACCTTTTTCTCATATGAGCTTCACTGAGCCCTAAAAAGAGAAACAAATCAAAGACATAATAATCGCCTCCGCATCTACTCCCTTCTCTCATATACATCATAAACAACACACTATACTTATAAATCATTGTTGGGGGTTAATGTTTCCTTGTTGATTACAACAGTTTCAGCTTAAGCGGCGCGCTCACAATCTGCATCTACTGTGCTGGCGAAAGATATTTGTTAATGAATTAAAAAATGGGTGGCTATCTTTCTTCTGATGGTAAGGTGAACAGAAGATGTGATGCCTCTCGACCCTCCTCTGTTCCCTTCACATTTATTGCGTTTTCAAATGGAATCACTGTCATCAGGATTTGAATGGTTAGAAAGCCCCAAATCGGTGTTCTCGTCTCCTCCAGCTGCTCCTGTTATCTTGGTAAGTACTGACTGCTCTCCAGTTCCTGGGTTTTAGGTCGGCTCCCCATTTTTTTATCCATCTTTTCCTTACATTTTCACTTTCCCCATTTCTTCTTCTCCGGGGACCGTTGCTGCGTTTTCATCCCCTGTTCTTTTATTTTTTTATGGGTTTTTTCTTATCGAGGCAACTCTTCCGGTTCTCAATGAAAAGAACGTCTTTTTTTGTCTGCTCAGTTTTGCCGTATAGCCTAACGATTGTTTCAAGAATGGTTTTCTGATTTTGATGCACATCACTTGCTTTCATTCTTTCATCCTTGCTCCACTTCCACTTCCAACAAGTCGAGTTGTGTTTTCAAAGTAGTGTGTATTTCTCTTAGTTGTTGATATCCATTAATGACAATTTTCGTCCTGTGCAGCTCAATCTCTTGAAAATTTACGGTGTCGGGGGATAGTTAGTTATTGTATGCACTTGGCGGGTGAGAAGAAGTGAGTATTTTGTCCCCGTAAGTAGCTTTCGTTGAAAGAGGAGACATGGACAAAAGAAAAAGGGGGCAGTTTTTTCAAAAACGAAAGTAAAACAAAATAAAAGTGCTTGAAGAAGAAGCACTGAAAAAGATTGTGTGTGTGTGTATAAGGAAGTTAGCTAGGTGGGCAGATAATCAAAGTTGGTTGCTTTAATGGAGTGGGATTTGAAGATGCCTCCTTGGGATTTATCAGAATTTGAGCAAAATGCTGGTGAGGCAAACTTAAGCTCAGTGATTGTTTCAAGTGAAAACACTCCAGGGCGGCAGTCAGGAGGCATTGACTGCTCAGTTGATCTCAAGCTTGGGGGTTTGGGAGATTTTGGATTGGTTGACAAGTGGAAGGAAGAGAAAAGAGCTTCGACGATGGTGCCGCAGTCACCCGTCTCATCAAGCTCATTGAAGAGGCCCCGAGCCCCAATTGGCGGAAGCCAGAAGGTCTCATGCCTTGTAGATGGGTGTAGAAATGATCTTAGTAATTGCAGGGAGTATCACAGGAGGCACAAAGTTTGCGAGGTACACTCTAAGACTCCTATTGTTTTGGTTGGTGGCCAGGAGCAGCGATTCTGCCAGCAATGTAGCAGGTAATGTAACTGAGAATTTTGCATTACTTTGGTGAACATTTGTTGCTATTGGCAGTTTTTTTTTTTTTGGTTCATTTAGAACTTATTAATATTTTTATAAATTTGCCATCATCAATCTTTGTTGGCTATGATTTGAAGATCCTGCAATTCTGGCAGTTGAATTGTTTTGCTTGCTGAAAATACGAGGAAAATAGGAGCTTCGGCTTCCTACTTGCTAAGTGCTTTGAAATCTCTTATCCATGTCGGATTTTCTTGGTTTTGTTTTAAGTTTCTAGTTTGATATATAGAATTATATCTCCTCTTACGCATGTTGGCTTTTCCTGACCAGGTTTTTAACAAGCATTATTCTGCTCCTTTATGCATTATTTATGGATTAATTTCTTGAAAATGGAGTTAATTTTGAGAGATTTATTATTGAGACAAAACGTCTCCGTGTTTTCTTTCACTCGGAGATCTTGACATCTTTTTGTTTTGCACGCTTTCGTTTTTTTTTTTTTCAGGTGATGTATTAGTTCTATATGTGCTTTTATTATTTTTAACTAAATAAATCTAATTAACTTCTTTCCTCATAGGCTAGTGAGAGTGACCTGGAAATTTCTATTTAACTTTTGTCTTTGAAGTTATATTTGTGATAGCTGGCTCCTTGGTGGGCCTTAAATTTGTCTGTTCTTTCAGTTCACAAGCTTTCAGTTTTAACTTTTGCTTTTCATTGTTCTCTTCTGGCACCTGATTTTTCTCTTTAGGGGACAATATATCTCTGCCTAATCTTCTCCACTTCTATTTTTCATTGCTTTTGCTCAGGTGGTTTTAGTTTCTTGGAAGGATAAAATTCTCGTTTAATCTTGTTCACAGAAATATGTGTGCTTTTCCTTTGGTTTTCATTTCTTGTCAGTTTTTTACAGACATCTAATTATTAGGATTCGAGCCCCTACTTTTTAGCATTTACAACCTTGAACTGCCTTCTTCTGATGCTGTCGTTTTTGGTCCTATTTATCCTGACTGTCTATTAAATTGATTTTCTATCATGCATTGAATAAAAAGTTACATTGTAACTCAAAAATCAAACATTCCTTGCAATCGGGTTATTTCGTAAGGAAACTAAGAAAAATATCATCATTATGATTTGTTGCATTACATAAAGCTATTGGTTGTGTGGAAATTGAATAAAATGAAACCGAACAAAACCATGGATTGTTAGATCTACTTTGAGCCGTCTAGTTGAAATTACTGCGTTGATCTTAAATTTATGAGTCACAAAATGTCGTCTATATCTAAACTATGTTAAAATGAACTAAATCATGCCAAAAAAGACCAATGAAAACCAGACTAAAGTTATACAAAACCTAGGTTTTTTTTTTTTTTTCAGCTTCCAACCCCAAACCAAAGATCAGATAGATATTGAACTGAAATAAACTGTTAAGTTTCGTTTTGCTTAATTGTTGCACTGCCAGGTTTGTTTCAAACAATTTTGGACAATTTGTTTTAATTCAGTTCCAAATTCTGGAGAATTTGAAGCCAGGCGGAACCATGCATGTGCCTAGATTTAGTTCTACTTTGATAACCACATTCGCTCTAGTCTGTCCATGTAAAATTTTGTAAGATGCAACCAACAGGAGTTTCAAAGAAAACTTAAATCATGCTCGGGTAGTTCATATAGTTTAACAAAAGTTGTAGCACATTCATGCTTACTTTAAATTATTCTGGTGAACTCTATGTGCTTTTATTGTACTGATAAATTGTAAGCAAAGCTGCAAAGTTTTTTCTTGATTCGTGTTTTCAATGTCATATTTCTACTATTTTTTGACTAATTGCCTGATTAAGCAATTGCAGATCTGTCAATGATGTGCTGTTAATCGGAATAAACTTGAAAGTATTCAATATATTCCCTACTCATGTTTGCTCATGCATTTTGATGGGGTACTGGGAATGCGGATTGTTTGCATTAGTCTAAGCTAATGTGTATTCAAGTATAAATTCTCACTACAAATGCAAGTGCATGTGTCGATCAAATAATAAAAATGTTTATGAGAGAGTGTCAATTCGATGAGGAAGTGTTATGGTTTACACAATAGTTCTAGTACTGCCTACTTCTAGCTACAAAAATTATCCTACCAACGAAAATCAAGGTTGTATGTTGTCTAGAATGAGAATTGCAGAAGAAAAGTGAAGATACTAATAAATAAAGTATTTTGGACTAATGTCAGTGACATCTCCTAAGCTTTCCTAAGTAGAATCTCCTAAATATGATTTTTTTCTTTCACATCTTTTCTTGTGCTAAAGTAATAATTTTTAAATATTTAATTAACTTTCTTCCTTTAAGAAACTCTAATTTAGAATTATGTAAGGATTGTGCAAATGTACTACTTTTATATGCAAGTTCATAATGAGTTTTATAAAGTAATTTAAGTACTTCCTTTTTCCAAATTTAGTTATCCAACTATGTACCAACTGTCAGGGCTTTTAAATGTTGTAGTATTTAAGTTTAAAATTGAAGTACTAACTTAGATAATTTTTCTTAGTTGATTGTGATGATTTTCAAATTAGAAATTATTGTTATTTATTCATTCAATTGAACAACAATATTTTTGTATTATTCTTAATTTTAAATAACTTTTAATATATATTCTTTATTTTGATTAAATTAACTACTAAAGTATAATATTTGGAGGACGTTTCAACAGTTAATCAAAATAAAAAAATTAATTAATGAAATTTTCACTAACATAAACAATAAACTTTATAAAGTGCATGAATAATAATACTAAACAAAACACAAGACTGTAAACAAGAATTAATCATGCCTTTTCATTATAAATGATAGCTAGTAGAGAAGACACTAAAATGAAATTACTACATCCACAACTACAATATCATGTGCACACATGCACCACCTAATCACAAGAAGTATAACTAATATTAATCACAACTATCACATGCAATCAATGGGGACCTCCCAAGCAAAGGAAAATGAAAAATAAAGAAAGCAAAAAGAACAACCAACCATATCATCTCTCTCTCTCTCTCTCTCTCACACACACACACACACACACTCAACTACTCAAGTAAATAATGAAAAGCAAAACAAAGAAAAACAATAATGAGGATCAATCAAAATCCTCCTCCTCATCATCTATTATTGCTACCAGTGGGTGCCAAACAAATGGGTTGTATGTAGGGGCTAGAGCGAAATGGAGTTGGTCGGACATCTCTATAAGTGGACTCTTCTTTAATATCCCAACAAATGCTTCATTGAATTGAGAAGAGTAGTTGTGCTGCTTTTCCTGCATGTCTATACAATGGGCGACCTGATGAGACATCTCCTGCTGCCACCCTTACTCTCCTAAAAAAAGGTGGTAACATCCATTTGCTCCCTCAAATATGCCACCTGCTCACCTAGGATCTAAGGGTTCGGGCACTCGATCAATTACTACTGGGTTTGTTGAATCTTGATTAGGTTGTTAAACATAAGCTAATGTCCCAAGGCTAACCAAGAGGGGGTGAATTAATAATTATAAAAATTACTCTTTGATTTAAAAATTGAAAAACTTTAAAGATTCGTAGCAAGTTAATTGATAATATTTGAAAACAAATTTTTCAATCACAGAATAAAAACTTGCAGTAAATAAAATGCGAAAATTTAAACGGCACAAAAAATTTTATTGGTTCAGTCAAACACGACCTACATTCACTCCCTTAAAAGAGACACTCCCTGAAGACTCCCTCTTCAGGTATTGCACAATTACAAAAAGTGTCTCTCCTTTTGCCCCCACAGCAAGGCAGAGAAGCCATTACAAATCTCTCTTCCACCAATCCCCGGTGAGGTAGAGAAACGTCATCCTTTCACACTCTCCAAGTGTCGGCAGAGAACCGTCGTCCTTTCACCCTCGCCAAGTGTCGGTAGAGAACCGTCGGCTGTTCACACTCTCCAAGTGTCGGCAGAGAACCGTCGTTCTTTCACACTCTCCAAGTGTCGGCAAAGAACCGTCGTCCTTTCACACTCTCCAAGTGTCGGCAGAGAACCGTCGGCTGTTCACACTCTCCGAGTATCGGCAGAGAACCGTCATTTTTTCACATTCTCCAAGTGTCGGCAGAGAACCGTCGGCTGTTCTCTCTCCAAGTGTCGGCAGAGAACCGTCGTCCTTTCACACTCTCCAATTGTCGGCAAAGAACCGTCGTCCTTGCACACTTTCCAAGTGTCGGTAGAGAACTGTCGGCTATTCACACTCTCCAAGTGTCGGCAGAGAATCATCGTCCTTTCATACTCTCCAAGTGTCAGCAGAGAACCGTCGGCTGTTCACACTCTCTAAGTGTCGGCAGATAACCGTCATTCTTTCACATTCTCCAAGTGTCGGCAAAGAACTGGATATTCTTCAAAGATCTTCTCACGATTAATCTAGAAAAATAAGAGGAAGAGTGAAAAACACAAATCACACAAAGATCCTTACCTTTGAGTAACCTTGTGAACAATTCACACTCCACTATCAAAAAATCTCTCTCAAATACTCTCTTTCAATTGCCCTTGAAAAATCACGAATACAAGACTTTTTCACGTCAATTTTAGTGGACTTTTTGTACTCAAGACACGAAAAATCATCTAGAAAACAGAAAATTTCAATTTTGAATGTACATGATCGTATAGTGCGATCATCTTTCGTACGTACGAACAGTTCAAATACTATTGCGTACGAACTTGTTGTGAATCGATACGAAACCAATTCGTACACAATCATCGTTCGGTACGAACCACATTCGACCGGGACGAACAGTTAGAAAATTTTTCATCTTCGTATGGACGAAGAGAGACCCCACAATTTCGTACTAAGTTTATGCATCTTTGGTTTCCACAGTAAATGAGTTTTTCTATGTAAAGTATAAGTGTGTTTTATATGTCCAATTATCCCACAATAAAAGCATTTTACTTCAGGAAACGGTTTTCTTAATTTTCTATAATAACTTTGATTCTTCCTGTGTTCTAAAAATTTTAGCCACAAAATAAGATT